ATACACCCAGACACTATTCTAATTATAATGCCCCTGCATTAAGGAGTTGCCCCGGGACGAGAAAAAGCAGACGCAAGAGGGCATCCCGGCGGTAGGATTCTGAGGATGCTCGGACCATGGATCTCTTCAGAAGGGAAAATGGTTTTAGCATGCCCTACACCCCCCGGTGCCTACTACATAGGGCCCTAGGGGCTCTAGTTCCCCATGTAGTTGGCACCTGGGGGGTGAGGGATGATTTGAAGACTGCTAGCATGAAGATGAAGCCGTAGTGATGATGGGCAACAACTACCTTTAGCTTTCCGCGAGTGCCCTATGTTCGCCTGAAAAATTCAGCATCTCATGAGCTTCGGACGCCGAGAACTTGATCTTACAACGTGGGGCCTTCTTAAGAAGGGGCCTTGAGCAGACCAGCGTAGTCAACACCCATTCAAACGCTGCGGCTGAATGCGTTGGCTTTCCGCCGATTGTGATTATCATTCATAGGGACCCTGACACAGAGTCGCCATTCCGAACGGTAGGATGCCTTCTACATGAACCCGTGAGTGAGGTACCCATAACCCTATATCGCACGAAGACCACACATGCTTACGCTCGGCCTCTCGGAACTTGGAGATATGTCTTGGTCGACCTGCCCATGCAGGCGTTTTCTTGATCTTCTCTAATCAGAGGAAAACCCTTGCAGCGTCAGGGCTTTGGGTTTACGTAATTACGGTTTAGGGTTTAGGGGCCTTGCAATAGAATCCTTCTAGAACCCTCTAGTTTCTCGGATATTCCTTGTTTGGATTGAAGCAGGGTTCAACCGACATCTGTGTTTTCCATTGCCCCTATGTGCAGCAGGCTGCAACGGCTGGCTTTCGAGCAAACGGATACACCAAACTCACCAAATGCTAACACCTAAACTTTCCTAAAGTAACCGACTCTTTCCCGAGACCCTGCTGAGCGCCGAAAAAACGACAAGGTCTGCAGGCCTAATGCGTAAGGCTCACGGTTCTGTCGCTCTTCAAGGGCATAACTCACCACAGGCTACCACCGATACAGTCTGGGGCTTAAACCAACGTACAGGCTACAGACCCAGCAATAGGTAACTAAAGCAACCTCCCCCGGCCCAAGCACTTACTGCTTGGATGCAGGCTGTCCTGGTTCACGGCTGCAGCTGCGGCAGACATGATGCGACAGCTCGGTTCGACACCTCCTGCGCCAAGAAGCCGAATCCGTGACTTGACTTCGAGCTCGAGGCTGAGGCGGCGAGCGTACTTTAGCATCTTCTGCTTCACTCAACTGCTGCAACATCCTGGTCCTTCAACCTTGTCCACATCGTTCTCATGAGGATCCTGCCTGGAGCGGACTGAGTCATGAGGCAATGCGCATCAGGCTTCATTCACAGCACTGTTGTGGCCAGTTGTGGCTGTGTCTTGTTGACTCGTCGCGGCACCTAGATCTTGAAAGGAGAAAGACTGGTTTCTTGACCTCCGCAATACTGAGCAAAGTGAAAAGCGTGTGCGCCTCTGATCCTCCGAGGGCACTTCTTCATTGACATCGACACGGCAGAAGGCATCCTTCTCTGTCTCTGCCATGGCTCTAGACACTAAAGCGGACCGGAACGGTGTCAACCATTCAGTCCCTGCAAAGCTACAAGTGCTGATAAGCCGAGGTGGCTACGCAGAAGAGTTTGTAGATTCTACCGCTGCAAGCATGAGTCGCACTCCAGCACTGTGACCATGTTGGACCACTTGAAACTTCGGGTCTCTTCAAGATTCCTCTGCGAAAGTGCATGCCTGACCCCATCTCGACAGATCGCGGAACACACCAACAAACGAAACTAGCACGCCCAAAACGGCTCTAAAGCCTGTCCTATCCCCATCGTCCTCGTCATGTTTACGACATCGACCTGTGGTGTATGCTCGTAAAGCCCCCCTGATTAGCCTCTCAGTAAAAAGAACAACAGATGATGCGATGGCCTGGTTACAATTTCCACGGGCCCAAGGAATTACTGTACCGGTATAAGAGACCCCCAAACCCTGCTCTAATTATCAAGACCCCTACCCAGACCCCCAAAAGGATCTAAAAAAAAGATCCCCTAAGGGGGCTCCTATAAAGTACCCTTTAGTAGTTAGGATCCCTAATTGGGGGGATCTATTTTTTAGATCATCTTGGGGGTCTGGGTACATGATTTTCACCCCAAAGGTCTGAGCATGGCCGGGGCACTCCCAAAGCTAGGCCGCTGTGAGAGCCCACCGCCGCGATTCGGGCGGTTCCTTTCAAAACGGGCATACAATCAATACATGTGCACATACTTATTTATATATATATATATGTGTATTATGTAATTTCATACAGTATAGTATCATAAAATTCAGTATGGTATAATATGGTATGACATATTTTAGTATAAGATACCGCTGAGTGGGCCTTGCGACGGAGTCTCGGGTCTGTTGGAGTCGGTTATACAAAGGAGTGTTGGGTATCTTTCGAGGTCCAGGAGTACACTACACGGAGTTGCAGCAGCATCATCCTTATGCCAATTTCCAACTTTCCGGGCCTAGCGTGTGAAGCCAGGTTGCCATCCCAAGTGCACTTGAGGTTGCGATACTTTTCCTAATCCAGGCGGTCCGGATTAGGAATCCCCTGAAGGTAACAGGAAGCATGATATAATTGTGCGAGTGTACTATCTTGAAGACAGGCCCTAACTTCGAACAGCCCTGGAAGCCTCCAAGTTTCGCGCAGTGGGTCGAAGTTGCGACGGGCTGCCTTGAGAGTGAGCAGCCAAATAAGGAGCGACGTTTGCGGCGGCATGCTTGCCTACATAACCTTTATGCACTGGCTGCATATCACATGATGTGAACCTAAACAAACACACACACACACACACACACATCAGACAGGCTTAAGGCGGACACATGTGCTTACTTAAAGGTGAAACTCGAACATCTACATTATTTCGGGATTGCGGGCTCTTTCGGGGTCCGGGGTGTTCTGCCTGTCCGCGTGTAAGATGAGTTGCATGACCGATACAATCCTTGGAGCTGTGGTCGCGAGGTTCCCGCATGCATCGGGCATGTAGGATATCTTGCACATGATTGAACGCACCTTCAGAACGGCAACCGCCCTCTGAAAGACTCGGACAGAAGATTCACGCAGACGAGAGGCAGATTTTGGTACCTAGGCCGCACACATGAGATTCTGTCAGATGAGTCAGGTCATGAGATGAACACTTACAAATGAGCCAAACTGTCAGGAACTGTACTGAATGACTCGAAGGCCCAAGATGCAAGGCCCGTGCCACCGAAGCCATGCGGCCACTTTGGGCCGCCGCAGCCTCGGCGAAGGTCTCGCCGCAGGCTTCCGGATCCGGACTCTTCCGACAGTGCTCCAGCAGCCACGGGTCCAAGACCAAGTCCTTTGAAGTGCCTGCTAAGCGGCCCAAGTCCGAGAGTACCAGACTGAGGTGAGACTGTCGCTGCAAGAGCCCAAACAGGGTCTCTTGCGCCTCTGGTGACTCCCCGAGGTCCTTCAAGGCACATCCAAGCTCATCGTCGCCAAGCTGATGGACGGGTGCACTCTCCAAAGCTCCCGGAAGAGCTCGAGACAGAAGGCTGTAAATGGTGCTGGAAATATCTCCAACCTTCAGGGAAATCGTGCGTGCTAGACGAACATTGACACGGCCTGTGCCGGTCTTGCCCCACAGAGAAACGAATAAACACTACGGTAGCATACGGTATAGTGATTACAAACGTATAGGACATGAGGCACTTGGTAACAGCCCACTAGGTTACTGGGGCTTCACGAGCCTGCGATTGTCGGCGATGCTCGCATCGCAGCCACGAGGGCAGCAAGAGTGGGGCCACTGCCTCGAATTTTGGTGACAAGCACAGACGTACGAGCTTGGGTTCAAGGTCTTGGTAAGATGTTTGGGCTAATTTGGTGATCTAAACTAGTAAATAGTATGCACCTGGACCCAGAACCCTTCCCGCCCGAAAGTCCCATCCACAACAGCCCAACGCAGCAACTGAGAAATCGAGGGGTCAAGAGATGTCACGAGTCTCCTGCCCCGATACCTTCTCTGCGACTTACACACTGTTTGTAGCTCCTGCCCTTCCTAGAAGCGATACAGGCGAGCAGTGCACGAAACACTGGCACAAACAGTAACTCGTTATTTGAGCTAGGCGCCGACAGTACGATCGAAATTGTATGCCGTCTGCCCAAGCAAGCCGAGCAGCAGGATGTGTCGGCAGCCAAGCCAGCAGCAACGAAGCCGTGAGGTGCATGGAGTTTCTTACTGTCCCGAACTGTTGTATGCAACGAAACAGAAGCATTCCCAGCAAAACCGTGGAAACACACTGCACACAAAACAACATCCTTCAGTTCGCATAGTAGCTGCGATTCGCAGTAGACGACGTCCTACACAGGCCATGTGATCATCTGGTAACACCAGTGACACCATGCAACACGTCTAACACAGACGAGCAAATTGGTGTCAGAACAGCTGAGTGTTATCAGGTTGGCTCCTGTCTTACTTGTACCTCCCTGTCAGAACATCTGCCGTGCCAGCACCTTGCACCAAATTTCGGTTAAAGACCTTTTCATAGGTGTGCCCTCAAGCTCTTTACGATCATCTGTGGAAGCCAAGAAACGGCAACAGGTTGAAAAAGATCTCGCACAAAGGACTTGGAGGTACGGTAACCACTGGATCATGAGATTGCGAGAACCGCTAACAATTGGTTTCAGACGACAGCAAAGCGGCCGGGCCAACAATCGTGCAGGCTGGAAGAATACAGAAGACAGATTTAGGAAGGAGACGCAGAGCAAGTCGTGCATGCAACAGTGCATTAATGATCAGCTGGGAGTTGCAACTGCGGCTGGAAACGGCGACACAAGCCTTCTGAACGCACTGTTTCGAGAAGCACCGGTGAGCACTAATTCTGGGAGAACTTAAACCAATAGCACGTACCTCCACCACGCTGATTCGGTTTCCAGTCTCCGACCCCCAGTCAAAGCTGCGCCTTGCGGCAGCAGGCATTGCCACGGCCACAAAACTTGTCGCAGATGCCCGAGCCCATGCAGGGAATCCAGCAGTCGTACCCTCAGGGCGAGCTTCACACTTCAAGGCCTCCGAGCCAACGCGAGAAGACTGGTATGTCGGATTTACTGCATCGCCCTTCCTTCCGGGAAAGCACACATGGCCACTTCGACACTTAGCTCCTGGCCACGGTGCAGCACCGGCAGAACCTAATCAGACTGTTTAGTCAACAGGGATATCGATGTCACATCCTTTCGTTGGGGCTTGCAGGGACAAGCCTGTGAGGTACCACTGATTGCTCTATGCAGAGATGCGCCCTCGACCTCAAACTCAGACCATTGCAAGAACTCAAGCATGCGCTCTCAGCTGCCTGGAAGTCCAGCCTGCGAATTCGCTACGAAGTTGCCCACGGCTCTTTTGGCGACTAAAAATCAAGCTGCAAATCATATGCTGTCATTGGGACTGATGTGCAAAAACGAAGAGGTCACGAGGATTGGTTCCAGGCTCCCACAAGACATATCTAAGGGTGCGGCCGCAGCTTCTTCTGGATGGGTGAAGGGATTGTGCTGTTCCTGGGACTGATCCGAGCTCTATACGGCTCTATTGTCTCAGAACCTGATTCAAATTCTTCAAAAGTGAAAGGGTTACAAAGTTCAAAGGCCGGCCAGCATGGCTTATGCTGCGGCCGGGTGTCGTAGGGGTTCACGACCGGAAGATCCGCCTCTCCTGCGTCCTTGCAAAAGGCGGAGAAAGATGCACGGAGGAAGGACGAATTCTGGATTCCACCCGCCCACCTCCCAAAGACAACGACGCCCTGACCCCCGTACGTCTTTGAACCAGGAAGCGAAATGCGCGCATTCATTACGGGGCTGTTCTTGACCTTGAAACCTTCGACTGAATCCTCGACGACGACGGGCTATCACAGGAACAAGCTTCTTCGCGCACTAGGCGGAGCATTGTAGATAGAGAATCTCACCCCAATGATCACAAGCCTTAATTACAAGCTGCTATGCTGCTACATCTTGGATGCAGAGTCCATCCCGTCACACTGCCTGACTGACGATCTGAGAAATGAAGGGCACAAGCTGAACCGTCTATATGCCAGGGAGCAATGGGAACATACTGCAGACGGCGAAGGTCTACCAAGCGCGAAGCTGATGGCCCTGCAGCCACGGAGAGAACGTCTACTGTAGACGTTCGAGGCGGTCACCGAGACCAGAAATAGGAGTTTCCGAAAATAAGGGGTACCCTTTTTTGGGGGTCCTTATAATAGGGATCCTATTAATTATTTAGGGTACTATATTAGGGTCCCCTATTTTCGGAAACCCCCAAATAGATTCCACCGATCTGCAAAGCTACATGCGGTTGCTCTTGGCCACAGCCGATTCGGAACGGACACCCTGACTGCACTTATCGCTACATGTTTGTAAGCGCCCCATCCTTCAGCGATGAAGACAGTAGCAAAAAAGAGCTTCGATACGCGACACCCTGCGGAATCGTTCAAACGCTTTTGGTGAGAATGTGCGCGTGCGAGAGAGTGCGCATGCATCAGGCCTTAGTACTCTAGTGACTACTGACCGCAATGCAGAGAGCTGCAGGAGGCTGCAAGCTTCTTGCCTCGCTGTGACGGGATTCTGCCATGTCCATGTCCTTATGTACTACTGCTGGAAACGATCCGAGCACTTGTTTATTGAAGCTCCGAAGTTTGTGCTTGGGCTTAGGATAGAATGGGTATCGGTCCGAAAAATGATGCGTTCTTACGAGCTCATCTGCAGATTTGGCAGTTTCCAGAAGCACTTGGGCACTCTACTGTAGAGCCCCAAACAAGGGGACCCTTATAAGGACCCCAAAGGAAGGAGCTACCTTTGCTCTCTGACCCCCCGGTCCGTTCCCCTTCGCTTTCTGGAGTGGCCTGGAAGGGCCCCGAAGCACAGGGCACCCGCAAGACACGCAGCAGCCAGAGCTAGGAGAGGCCAGGAGGCCAGGACCCTGCAAAGGCGGCCGGGAAGTCACTTCGATTCAGGGGGGTTTGGGGGGTTTAGGGGTTTTGGGCTTTTGGGGCTTCGGGTTTAGGGGGGTATAGGGTTTTGGGTTTCTTGCGTTTTCTCGGGCTGCTTTTCTTCCGCCTGAGCCTCTGAAATCAGGTTCCTACAGCAATTCTAGCGCCCCAATTTCAGGAAAGTGCTTTCGTGCGTGGTGTGTAATTTGGTGACCACGCCTCCTCCGGCTAAAGCACTGGCTGGGTGCGCCGTTGACCTGGTCAACAGGTCGAGACTCCTTGCAGCTTGCTTGCAAATACTTCAGTTTCCATTGCGGTCGCATCATGACTTCTTGCTGTCGGCGGCTTGCGCACAGCCAACCAACTCATCTCGAAGACGAAGGTCTTGATTTGACAATTAATTGAACATAACGTCGGCAACGGCATCCTCTCTTGAGAACCCTTTTAGCATTCGTCATGCGATCGGACGTGACGGTTGGTACAATCGCCTTCCACATGGAGAAATACCATCAGAAGTCCGTCAACAAATCCTGCTGACATGAACTATACAGAAGCTCAGATTTCAAGCAACTTCCTAGACGTCCATTCAATGGCGAAGCTTCTCACTCTGTCTCTGCCTTACTCTGTAGCTTCCCTCTCCGTCTCTCTCCGTTAGTTGCCTACTTACTTACTTACTTACTTACTTACTTACTTACTTACTTACTTACTTACGTACTTGCTTGACCTCTGCAAGAGAGAGGGGAGACAGAGAGAGAGAGAGAGAGACCGCGACAGAGCGACTTGCGGGAAGGAGCGAGTGAGATCAGGACATCGATACTGAAAGCTCGTCCTCGTGCTGCAGCATCCGCTCAGCAGCTTCCATGGCAAGGCTTTGTTGCCGAGTCTTTGGACGGTGTGCTTCGCTGCTAAATTTACTGCAGCTATGTACTACTTGGTTTGGGCCTATGCTGGGTCATGTCTTGGTCTTAGTACCCATGGGGCTTGGGCGGCAGGTTTTCCGATCTGCTCGCTTCAGAGAATGAACAAGTACCAACATGGCCCGCGTGAATCGAAGCGATGTGGTACTCAGTGATACTGTAGTATGAGAGTTCTTGAATCCGGGGTATGTTCGGGGCTGTCCTTCTTGAAGTCTCATAGAGGAGCCTTGAGTAGTTGACGCCTATGGCTCTTCCTGGTGACTGACGAAGGCTCGTACCAAAGCAGGAGGCCCAGAGCGATCATTAGGCTTGCTCACGAAGAAACTCTGCCTTGATGTATCGAAGTATGAATATACAATACACACACATACGGACCATAGAAACCGGCTTGTTACGTAGATGCACAGTACTGTAGAAAGACAAATCGGCTACTTGTCCATCTATCTATTCATATCATACAATTGCAAGGCACAGCGACAGCACTCTCCCAAGAAAGCGTCGGGCACCAGGAATCCGCCGAGTCGATCGCAGGGCTCCACTTCTCTCTGCAAGAGCTCCAGAAACTGGCACGGGCTTGGCAGTACTCGACACCGGTGGCTGGGAGGTTTCCAAGCAAGATTGAAGATGATGGAAGTACCGAGCAAAGACTTGACGTACCGTTTGCCATGTTCCGATTCTGCATCCTTCTCGGGAAAACGACACGGAAACACCGCAAGCTGAACATCTATTGAAGACTCAGCTTTCAAACCGACTGTACTGGACAAGGCGCGAACGCAAACGCACTCGTACACGGACACACACGCACACACACAGCGAGTTGGCATGCTCAAACGCACCTTCAAGCATCAGTATAAGAATGCAAATACATTTTGATGCAGCAAAATGGGAACACCCAGGGCCCACTGCCTTTTCCTGCAGCGCTGGGCCATGGATGTTGTAGCCGCAGGCCTCAATCCAAGCTCTTCGCGCAGAGTTGACTTAGACAACCGCCGTGTGTTGTAGAAACGGATGCCTTATAACAGCATATATATCAATATCTAAACCGCGGGCTCCAGGTACGGTGCCCTAAATGGTAGGCCACCACTGGTCACCAATATGAGTAGCGAATGATGAGTGACGTGTGATCGACCCTTGCTACTACCCAGACCATCCTACTTGCACCAGGCCCTCAAAAACAGGAAGTATCTTTGATGCACATAGAAACTGAACCCCTGAAAACCGTCGGATGAGAAGTCGGGACTTCAGCCAAGAGCGAAACCCTGACATGCAACAAATCAACCGAAATTGATGTCTGCGGGGAGGGCATGTGCATGTATGTATGTGTCCAATCTGTATATGCATTGGCTGCATGTACGCGTCTGCCCGCGTATGCACAGAGACAGCGGGAGAGAGAGAGAGAGAGAGAGAGAGAGCGAGAGAGAGCGAGCAAGAGCGAGAGCGAGAGCGAGAGCGAGAGCGAGCGAGAGCGAGAGCGAGCGAGAGTGCGCGAGAGTGAGAGAGATAGCCAGCGCAAGCGACAAGATGGACCGATAGACAGGCTGATGCATGCAAACATATGAAGAAGTTGATCTAAAACTCGAAGTTGGGATTCCACGCCCAGTTGTTTCCTGCGCCGCTCTGGCAAAAAAGCCCGCGAGTCTCTGCATAGCGCCAGGGACGGGACGCCTGGCACGTGACAAAGCCCCGAATGTTAGGCTGAGCGGTTTCGAAAGCATCTGTTCTGCAGGAAGTCGGCGCTTGCGGTAGCAACACGCATCTGCACGGCTCTCCGCAGATTTACCAGTTGTGAGATTAGAGAATGTGCAAAGTAAATAAAAGTAAGAAACACAAGCGACAAAGGAGTGCGTGGTTTATTTCTTTTATTTTTTTGCTCCATTCGCCGCCTTAATTTTAACCTAAGATTTACAAGTTTAGTTTAATAATTAAGTCATCTCATTATCTTCTCTCACTAACTGGTAAATGCTTCTTATCATTCTTATTTCCTTTATTTTAATGGAAGCAAGAATAAAGAGAAATAGAATGCCAAGAAAGCACCATCAACAAAGGACTCACGAAGTTGGCGGTCAGGAACAAATGCAATGGAATGAGGATACAAGTGATAACGCGTGAGCCGAAATGAAATGA